TGTGAGATGATCACTGATCATGATGATGATGATGATGAATATATTAGCCTGGATGTGAGATGATCACTGATCATGATGATGATGATGATGACTATCTTAGCCTCGCTATTCTTTAGTCTAGAACAGTTACTGCTGAATCGTAAAATGAAGGGTCCATGCTGGCTCCACATCAAAATGCCTCGTAAGTACTGTGCCCTGCAAACTCCTTGAAAACTGTAAACAAGAAATATTTAAAAAAATTCTTGGTACAAAATATCATTTATCGTTTTTTTTTTAAATCTAGAACTTGCCAACCAACCAGTTAGCTACTGTAAAGTTGAGGTAATTAATGACTAACAGCGTAAAAGTATGACTTCATTTAATGTTAATATTGGTTTACTGCTATGCACTGGCTTTTTGCTGCCAAACAAGCATTTATATGCGTTATTTGGTGAAACCAGCCAGCTTCGCATCAGAATGTGTTGGTTTAACGTACAGAAGCCTGTGTACAGAAGTATATGTGAATACATTAAAGGTGGCAATACTTTTGCACATTGCACTGTAATGCTCCATCATAGATGTCTACAGTGTTGTGCATATCAACTTTCTCTCTATCAGTGCACTGTATGTTCCCTTTTAAGGAAATTTAAATCTACAACTACACTGATTAGAAAGAAGTCGAAATAAGTGTATGAGGTCATTGAGGATTGAACAACAGCTTGCAGCACAATTAACATTTCAAACAAGCAAAGCTTTTTATTCCTTCTTTACTTTTATTATTAATGATATAAATTATTGTCTTAATTGCAGGCTTTTGTTAATAAACCTGATCATGTGATGTTGGCAGAGGAACAAGATGACCCACCACCAATGGTACAGAGTTTTTCAACAGAATTTTTCAACAGAATTTTTCAACAGAGTTTTTCAATAGAAACTTCGATGTAGTTTTTCTCTATCTTCTCTAGTTTCCCTTCATCCTTGAAAATCAACTTCTAAAAAATTCCAATTCAATATTTGGGCTTCTACCTAGTTTGGAGTCTAGCTCTGTTGGGATTGTCCCACACTGTCATACAAAAGACTAAGCTTAACAGGGTATGAACTTCAGTGATTTTACTCTGGAACAGGGTCAGGGTTCAGTGGGCTCAGCGGCACATCCCTACCCTAAACGGGCAGGATTACCCCTCCCCATGGGAAATTAGGCCTAAAACCAAGTGTAAAAAAGTCACCCTACCATCATGTAGTTGTGGTCTAAACTTTGGGTTGTTTATTTTAATAGCTTCTCAATCTTAATTTCTTTTAGGTTGTCATGAGTCTCAGTATGCAAACGCTTATCAACCCCAGAACACACACTCATGAGGTAAACCATTTTCCTTCTCTTTCTCCTTCTTCTCTCTTCATTTTCATCTTCCTTGTGCTGCTTGATTGTACTTTGAGATGATGGGCGGTTTTCCGGTTCTTCAATACAATGGATTGTTGTTTTCTCAAGGTCATCGCAATATCTGCTCTTGTTCATCAAGAAGTACACTTGAATAGGGCTGCGCCCAAGGAGAAGTACCAGTACAGGTTCTGTGGTGAGTACTACCTCAAACTGATAGGCAGCAAGTAAACATACCAGGCCTGACACATTAGGCGTGACACAGTAGGTGTGACATAGTAGGTGTGACACAGTAATGATACATTAGGCTTAACACAGTAGGTGTGACACATTGGGCGTTACACAAGGCATGACACACCAGGCGTGACACATTAGGCATGATACAGTAGGTGTGACACACTAGGCATGACACTAGGCGTGACACTAGTGGTGGTGGAACTCGAAGATGTGCTTCATACACCACCAGTGCTTCCCTTAATACTTTTATCTTTCCCTTTCCATTCTAATTCTTTTTATTTTTCCTATTTTTCATCTTTTAGCCATTAGTAAGCCAAGTGACAAGCTCTTCCCATTTGACTTCAAAGATGTCCTCAAGAAAAGGGTAAAAAATCAACACAAAAAATCAACACTGTTAAATGTGTTTAACGTTTTAAGAGAGTCATATGCATTTCAAAGTAGAAGGTTAAGTTTTTTTATTTTTTATTTCCCACAGCAAATAAAGATTGAAGTCATGACATCAGAGAGAGCTTTACTTGCATTCTTTGTTGCTAAGATACACAAAATTGACCCAGATGTCCTGGTGGTAAGTTATTACCCCTCCCTTTTTTTGCTTCCACTTTAATTAACTTGGCCCTTTCCTTCCTTGCCTCCTTGCTTCTTGCTTCCTTGCCTCCTCGCTTCCTTGCCTCCTCGCTTCCTTGCCTTCTTGCCTCCTCGCTTCCTTGCCTCCCTGCCCCCTTGCCTCCTCACCTCCTTGCCTCCTTGACTCCTCACTTCCTTGCCTCCTCGCTTCCTTGCCTTCTTGCCTCCTCCCTTCGTTGCCTACCTGCCCTCTTGCCATCTTGCCTCCTCGCCTCCTTGACTCCTTGCTTCCTTGCCTCCTTGCTTCCTTGC